CTGAGAGGGGAGAGAAGGGCTGTGAGGGAACTGGGGGGGTTGAAGGAGTGAGGGGCTGTGAAGGGAGTGGGGGGGGGGAAGGAGTGAGGGGCTGTGAGGACAAGTTGACCCTGAGGCAGCAATGTGCTCTTCTGGCCAAGAAGGCCAGTGGCATCCTGGGGGGCATCGGGAAGAGTGTGAGCAGTGGGTGGAGGGAGGTCATCCTCCCCCTCTGCTCTGCCCTGGGGAGGCCCCATCTGGAGCACTGGGACCAGTTCTGGGCTTCTTAGTTCAAGAAGGACAGGGAACTGCTGCGGAGGGTACAGCAGAGGCTACAAAGATGATGTGGGGCCTGGAGCATCTCTCATAACGAGGAGAGGCTGAGGGACTTGGGTCTTTTTAGTCTGGAGAAGAGAAGGCTGAGGGGGGATCTGATCAATGCCTATAAATACTTAAAGGGTGGGTGTCAAGAGGATGGGGCCAGTCTTTTTTCAGTGGTGCCCAGGGACAGGACAAGAGCAAAAGGGCACAAACTTGAACGTAGGAAGTTCCATCTAAACATGAGGAGAAACTTCTTTCCTGTGAGGGTGACAGAGCACTGGAACAGGCTGCCCAGCGATGGTGTAGAGTCTCCTTCTCTGAAGATGTTCGAAGTCCTCCTGGACGTGTTCCAGTCCAACCTGCTCTGGGTGATCCTGCTTTGGCAGGGGGTTGAACTGGATGATCTCCAGAGGTCACTTCCATCCTCAACCATTCTGTGATTCTGAGGGGAGTGGGGTGCTAAGGGCATGAGGGGCTTCCTGGAACTTCGTGGACATTGTTAACATGTACCAATTGGAAAAAAACACAACCCAAAACCACAAACAAAACCAACACAACACTTTAAAGTACCAGTCCGTGTTGAAAAGTATGTGGAAAAGTGATGTACTGGAAAGTAAAATAAGTTTCTGAGACTGTAGTGACAGTTCATTCTGGTTTTTTTGCTGTAGAATTATTCTGATGTTACTGCAATTCTTTTAATTGTAACCACTCTGGACCGTTAGAATAACGAACAAGTCATCAGTCATGTTCATGTGGAGATTTTTAGACCATCTGTATTGTGTGTTTTCAACTCTCCATTCACTTACGTGCTGTTGTAAATCAGTGGCTCTGTGATGCCACAAGGTGTAAGCAAGCACATTAAAATGATGCTCCTTCAGATGATTATTTTATCGAGCATCTTTTTGTGGAATTGTGTCTTGGTGATACCTCTTTTGTGTCACTTATAGAAAAAGTTACCCTAGGTCTCTGTGATTATAAGAATACAGACAATTAAGAGGAATTCAACTCCTCTTTTTTTTTTTCCTGGAACTTTTAAATACAGAGACATCTATGGCTGCTGTTAATTCTTGTATAGTAGATGAGTTTTACTGGAGTAGCTGCACAGAATCAGTCGATGCATGTCATTGCTCAAACATCTATAGTGTAGACCCCGTTGGGGGGAAATACAATCTGACTAATGCATTTTGCATCAATTACTGCGAGTGTTTTACTCGTCAGAGGAGACAATATCTTGCATATTTAAGGAGCCCTATAAGTAGGGGAAATGTTTCTTTAACTTCGTGTTCTGTCTCGGAGAGCTAACCCAAAGCAGAAGTAAATATTGTAAAAATAGGCATCTAACAAAAACTTACTTCAGGCGTGTAAGCACTGTCTGTAGAATGATTGCTCTTTTATTTTTATTATTTCCCTCTTCAGAAATGTACTCTGAACTCCCCAATGACCACAATAAATAAGAAAAATGCCCTGTTTAGAAGGGAGACGAAGACAACTATTTTAATAGCTGCCTTTAAAAACTTTATGACTTCAGTCTACAGGCACATCTCTTTTTTTAACTTTTATTTTTAAGATTAAATTCATAGGAGTTAGAGAGGCATGTTTCATCTGCAACTGTGCTACAATCTGGAGAGCGTGTGTGTGTAAGACCAAGTCAAGAATATATAAAATGAGAGAAAAAGATTCCTGGATTTCCCTGGGGAGTGTTAAGCAAGAATGTAAAAATTAGGGAAAAAGATCCGTGAATTTGCTGGGGTGATACTGAGTGGTGAGCCAAAGGAGAAAATCAAATTTTTAAAAATATTTTTATGGTATGTTACAACAGAAGGTGTACAGAACATTCCTTGGCCTCGCATAAGGGGCAGGACTTGCTGCACTCCAATTTTGGGTACAGTTTGAAATCGTTTTATCTTAAAACTAGCTAATTCTTTTTGTTTCCATGCAGATGTCAAAGATGGGTAGAGAACTGTCGAAGGGCAGATCTAGAAGATAAAACTCCAGATCAACTCAACAAGCATTACAGATTGTGCGCCAAACATTTTGAGACTTCTATGATATGCAGAAGTGTAAGTAAAAGCCAAGCATTTATTTGTTGCATCTTGCAAAATGTGATTAAGGTTTTTCATCAGAACGCTGTGTTTTAATCTTTGATCCCCTGGGTAAGTGATCCCTGTGAAAATTAATCTCCTAGTCTTAATTGAGATGGTTGTCATGGGCCAGGACACCGCACGGACTCACAGATGTTGGCACAAAGGTTGAGGGGGAAATGAGCAATTGGGGAAGAGGAAAAGAGAATTGCTGCCACTGGTTTAATATGTTTGTGGAGCCCTGGTCTTCACTGCAGTCCTTTCCTCACACAAAGCAATGTTCATTTTGTTTGTTGTCACTAGAATTGACAACACTATATAAATTTATTTGGTGTAAGTATTTAAGTTTGCGTACCTCTAATTATTTAAAATCGTTAATGCGCTCTTACTGAAGTGTGTACATGCTGTGATTCAGTTAAAATACACTGTCGTGGCCAAGAGATTTACACATTCTTTACATCTGTTGAGCTTTTTGTTCCTTTTATGTTTTATCCAGCTGAAGTCATGGCACTGTTTCCTGTTAATGAAATAATAGCTTTCCGTTCTTCTTGTTAACATGATAACACTGATTTTAACAGCTTACTTAGCAGTAGCAGATGGTGGATTTGGGGCTTTGTATCTAGTTTTAATCTCCAGGCTGAATTTTGACTCTTATAGATGGGCAAAATCAGTCCTTTAGTTGTGAAAGATGATTAAAATGCGCTGGTCAGACTTTGAGTTCCTGGTGGACACGTGACAGGGTCTCTGATTAGCCAGCATCCCAGAAACGAATGTTGGAATTAATTCTGAATCTGAAACGAAGTTTCATGAAACTCAGTTTGTTTAATGTATTTCAATTTAATGACGGTTATAAACATAATCAGTTAAAATTTGGTAGTGATATGGTTTGTTGATTTTTGTCAGTGTTAGGTTGATGGTTGGACTGGATGATCTGAAAGATCCCTTCCAACCTAAACCATTCTATGATTCTATGAAATTAGCCAGCTCAAATCATGTAAATTACACTATATCTAAATATAAAATTTTACTTAAAATATTTTTCTTTAATTGCTAGACACATGTACATGACCATCTAGAAGTCTTTTCATCCTGCTTCTCATTTGACAGATACATTTTCCTTCAGTATGATCTTTTGTGGTAGTATTTTGTGGAATTCATAAGTCTACATAAAGAAGCAGTCGAACACTTTAATTGTCAAAATAGTTATGAGATTGTTTCTAGGATTGTAACATTTGGATGATAAAACCCAAAGCTCAATAGTAACAAAAAGTTTCCTTTTTTATATCCAGAAAAAAAACAAACAAAAAATCATAATATTACAGTATTAATTATTGCATCTAGGGTTTCTGATGTGAAGATAAGAGGGAAGAAAAAGGGGTTGTGGTTTGGGTTTGGGTGGTGGGGTTTTTTTTAAACATCTCTTTTTTTCCATGTTCCTTTGATACCCCAAAATGGGAATTGCCTGGCATAGCTTTATTTTGAGACATCAGAAAGTGAAAATACTTTTCTAAAAAAGGAAGAAAAAAGAAAGGAGAGGGGGGGTGTCTGAAATTCTGGGGTTTTTTTTAGCACACACAGTGAGAATGTCCCAAAGATATCCCTAATCCAGATGTCTCTGTTACAGAGCCCTTACAGAACGGTTTTGCGGGATAATGCTGTGCCAACTATATTTGATCTTACAAGTCACCTGAACAATCCCCACAGCAGACACAGGAAAAGGATAAAAGAATTGGTAAGTTTTTCATGTAAGATTTTTTTTTAATAATAAAACAACAACAAAGGCAAGTAAGTTCATGTGAAATTTTATATGTAAAAGTGTCAATAATATTTAGCACTTGAGTGTTCGCATTTTTCTGTGCTGCCTATTCTAGTATCCTTTTGTTGATTATGTGTTAAATGCCTAAATATGCTGATATAAATTTTATATACTAAGGAAAGTTTAATGAAATAATCTGGAAAACGAAATGTATTGATCCAGAACTAATTCCATCTTCCAAAGGAAGGGCATAGCTTCCTTTTGCTTCACTTCACCTGTTTAACTTTTAAATTCTGTACCAATTCAGACATGTTGGTTTTAGCTTATTGTTCTGAAAAGATGATCAATATATAAGACCAAGATCGAGCATCTTTTTGTGGAATTGTGTCTTGTGTTTTGTGTCATTTATAGAAAAAGTTTCCCTAGGTCTCTGTGACTAAGAATACTGACAATTAAGAGGAATTCAGCTCCAAAACTCTGCTTATGTGTTAGAAAATTCACAGACAATTTCTTAAACGGACTCAATCAAACTCATGAAGAAATATTGTTGACTAAAAATAGGGTTAAAGGCAGTTCTGTCTATGACAATGCTTGTACATATTGAAACAGAATTCTTTAAGGAAAATTATTTTCTAATCATTATAAAATACATATTGAACAAACCACAAACTCCTAATATAAGTATGAAAACCTTAGCAGTAGCAACAAACTACTCTCACATAGTTAGTAGATATGTGTGGTGGCAGCAATAAACTACCTGAAGAAAACTCCTTCTTGGATCTTCTAGCACTTTTTAGTAAATATTAACACTCTTAAAATGGTCTCATCTACAATATTTGTGTCTGATCTTGATGTGTTTTAATATTTTAAGGTTGTGTGATAGACATTATTGTCAATATGTTTTGTTTGTTTTTTAAAGAGTGAAGATGAAATAAGAACACTGAAGCAACAAAAGAGTAAGTGGGCAAAATAACTGAGTACATAAAAGCTTTATTAAGGCTGACAAGGTAATGTGGGACATGTAATTGTAGATTTATATATATATATATCAGGAAGATAATTGAGCTCCTGCTTGATTTAAACAGCCATTCCAAACTCTTTCCTAAATACTCATTCTTTTTTAAACTGGGAACAAAATTATCTGGACTTCAGTGACTTAAAGGTAATGGGAATAGTAAGGGAAAGCAAAGGTTATGTTTTATTCTTGTTATCTTGACACAGTATTTTATATTTTGCAGTTGATGAAGCTTTTGAACGGGAACAGGCAACTCAAGAATTGAATGAAAGCAATGAACAAAATACTGTCGCGGAGGAAGGAGGGGAAGAGCAAGAGGAGGAAACCGTCCCCTTAACACTGGAAGAAACTGCTGCCACTGGTTTAATATGTTTGTGGAGCCCTGGTCTTCACTGCAGTCCTTTCCTCACACAAAGCAATGTTCATTTTGTTTGTTGTCACTAGAATTAACAACACTATATAAATTTATTTGGTGTAAGTATTTAAGTTTGCGTACCTCTAATTATTTAAAATCGTTAATGCGCTCTTACTGAAGTGTGTACATGCTGTGATTCAGTTAAATTACACTGTTGGGGCCAAGAGATTTAAACATTCTTTACATCTGTCAAGCTTTTGATTCCTGTTATGTTTTATGCAGCTAAAATCATGGCACTGTTTCCTGTTAATGAAATAATAGCTTTCCGTTCTTCTTGTTAACATGATAACACTGATTTTAACAGCTTACTTAGCAGTAGCAGATGGTGGATTTGGGGTTTTGTATCTAGTTTTAATCTCCAGGCTGAATTTTGACTCTTATAGATGGGCAAAATCAGTCCTTTAGTTGTGAAAGATGATTAAAATGCGCTGGTCAGACTTTGAGTTCCTGGTGGACACGTGACAGGGTCTCTGATTAGCCAGCATCCCAGAAACGAATGTTGGAATTAATTCTGAATCTGAAACGAAGTTTCATGAAACTCAGTTTGTTTAATGTATTTCAATTTAATGACGGTTATAAACATAATCAGTTAAAATTTGGTAGTGATATGGTTTGTTGATTTTTGTCAGTGTTAGGTTGATGGTTGGACTGGATGATCTGAAAGATCCCTTCCAACCTAAACCATTCTATGATTCTATGAAATTAGCCAGCTCAAATCATGTAAATTACACTATATCTAAATATAAAATTTTACTTAAAATATTTTTCTTTAATTGCTAGACACATGTACATGACCATCTAGAAGTCTTTTCATCCTGCTTCTCATTTGACAGATACATTTTCCTTCAGTATGATCTTTTGTGGTAGTATTTTGTGGAATTCATAAGTCTACATAAAGAAGCAGTCGAACACTTTAATTGTCAAAATAGTTATGAGATTGTTTCTAGGATTGTAACATTTGGATGATAAAACCCAAAGCTCAATAGTAACAAAAAGTTTCCTTTTTTATATCCAGAAAAAAAACAAACAAAAAATCATAATATTACAGTATTAATTATTGCATCTAGGGTTTCTGATGTGAAGATAAGAGGGAAGAAAAAGGGGTTGTGGTTTGGGTTTGGGTGGTGGGGTTTTTTTTAAACATCTCTTTTTTTCCATGTTCCTTTGATACCCCAAAATGGGAATTGCCTGGCATAGCTTTATTTTGAGACATCAGAAAGTGAAAATACTTTTCTAAAAAAGGAAGAAAAAAGAAAGGAGAGGGGGGGTGTCTGAAATTCTGGGGTTTTTTTTAGCACACACAGTGAGAATGTCCCAAAGATATCCCTAATCCAGATGTCTCTGTTACAGAGCCCTTACAGAACGGTTTTGCGGGATAATGCTGTGCCAACTATATTTGATCTTACAAGTCACCTGAACAATCCCCACAGCAGACACAGGAAAAGGATAAAAGAATTGGTAAGTTTTTCATGTAAGATTTTTTTTTAATAATAAAACAACAACAAAGGCAAGTAAGTTCATGTGAAATTTTATATGTAAAAGTGTCAATAATATTTAGCACTTGAGTGTTCGCATTTTTCTGTGCTGCCTATTCTAGTATCCTTTTGTTGATTATGTGTTAAATGCCTAAATATGCTGATATAAATTTTATATACTAAGGAAAGTTTAATGAAATAATCTGGAAAACGAAATGTATTGATCCAGAACTAATTCCATCTTCCAAAGGAAGGGCATAGCTTCCTTTTGCTTCACTTCACCTGTTTAACTTTTAAATTCTGTACCAATTCAGACATGTTGGTTTTAGCTTATTGTTCTGAAAAGATGATCAATATATAAGACCAAGATCGAGCATCTTTTTGTGGAATTGTGTCTTGTGTTTTGTGTCATTTATAGAAAAAGTTTCCCTAGGTCTCTGTGACTAAGAATACTGACAATTAAGAGGAATTCAGCTCCAAAACTCTGCTTATGTGTTAGAAAATTCACAGACAATTTCTTAAACGGACTCAATCAAACTCATGAAGAAATATTGTTGACTAAAAATAGGGTTAAAGGCAGTTCTGTCTATGACAATGCTTGTGCATATTGAAACAGAATTCTTTAAGGGAAACTATTTACTAATCATTATAAAATACATGTTGAACAAACTCCTAATATAAGTATGAAAACCTTAGCAGTAGCAACAAACTACTCTCACATAGTTAGTAGATATGTGTGGTGGCAGCAATAAACTACCTGAAGAAAACTCCTTCTTGGATCTTCTAGCACTTTTTAGTAAATATTAACACTCTTAAAATGGTCTCATCTACAATATTTGTGTCTGATCTTGATGTGTTTTAATATTTTAAGGTTGTGTGATAGACATTATTGTCAATATGTTTTGTTTGTTTTTTAAAGAGTGAAGATGAAATAAGAACACTGAAGCAACAAAAGAGTAAGTGGGCAAAATAACTGAGTACATAAAAGCTTTATTAAGGCTGACAAGGTAATGTGGGACGCATAATTGTACATTTATATTATCAGGAGGATAATTGAGTTCCTGCTTGATTTAAACAGCCATTCTAAACTCTTTCCTAAATACTCATTCTTTTTTAAACTGGGAACATAATTCTCTGGAATCCAGTAACTTAAAGGTAATAGGAATAGTAAGGGAAAGCAAACGTTATGTTTTATTCTTGTTATCTTGACACAGTGTTTTATATTTTGCAGTTGATGAAGCTTTTGAACGGGAACAGGCAACTCAAGAATTGAATGAAAGCAATGAACAAAATACTGTCGCGGAGGAAGGAGGGGAAGAGCAAGAGGAGGAAACCGTCCCCTTAACACTGGAAGAAAGAGAAAACAAAGATTACCTTAAATCTTTGTTTGAAATCTTGATCCTAATGGGTAAACAAAATATTCCTTTGGACGGCCATAACATTGATGAGCTTCCAGAAGGTATTTTTACTTCAGATAACTTTCAGGCTCTACTGGAATACAGAATAAATGCTGGAGATGAAGTTCTGAGGAAACGATTTGAGATGACTGCGGTCAATCTTGAGTATTGTTCGAAAACGCAGCAGAAACAAATGCTTGAGATCTGCGAAAGCTGTATCAGAGAAGAGACACTGAGGGAAGTAAGAGACTCGCATTTCTTTTCTATTGTCACAGATGAAGTAGTAGACATAGCAGGAGAGGAACATTTGCCGGTGTTGGTGAGATTTGTCGATGATTCTCATAATCTAAGAGAAGAATTTGTAGGGTTTTTGCCATACGAGGCCGATCCTGAGATTTTAGCTGTTAAGTTCCACACGACTATCACTGAGAAGTGGGGTCTGAACATGGAGTACTGTCGAGGTCAAGCCTACATCGTCTCCAGTGGGTTTGCTTCTAAAATGAAAGTTGTGGCTACAAGACTCTTGGAAAAGTACCCACAAGCTGTGTATACGCTGTGTTCCTCGTGTGCCTTAAACATTTGGCTGGCAAAATCCGTTCCTGTCGTTGGGGTTTCCATCGCGCTGGGAACCATCGAAGAAGTCTACTGTCTTTTTAACCAGTCCCCGCAATTGCTGGTAGAACTGGACAACACCATTTCTCTTCTTTTTCAGAACAACGAGCAGAAGGGCAACCAGCTGAAGGAGATCTGCCGTTCTCAGTGGACGGGCAGGCACGACGCTTTCGAGGTGTTAGTGGACCTCATGCAGGCCTTGGTGCTGTGCTTGGATGCGGTAGGCAACGACTCATCCGTCAGGTGGAACAACTTCATTGCTGGTCGAGCATTTGTACTTTCCAGCGCGTTGACAGACTTTGACTTCATTGTCACTATTGTCATCCTGAAAAACGTTCTGTCTTTCACGAGAGCGTTCGGAAAAAATCTCCAAGGACAAACCTCAGATGTCTTCTTCGCTGCCGGCAGCTTAACAGCAGTGTTACATTCTCTGAACGAAGTGATGGAGAATATTGAAGTTTACCATGAGTTTTGGTTTGAGGAAGCAACGAATTTGGCTACGAAACTGGATGTACAAATTAAACTCCCAGGAAAATTTCGCAGGTCGCGACAGGGGAACTTGAACTCTGAGCTAACGTCAGAAAATTACTACAAAGAAGTCCTTAGTGTCCCCACGGTGGAGCACATTATTCAAGAATTAAAAGATATTTTCTCAGAACAACATTTAAAAGCTCTAAAGTGTTTATCATTGGTGCCCTCAGTCATGGGGCAGCTGAAATTCAATACGTCCGAGGAGCATCATGCTGACATGTACAAAAATGACTTGCCTAATCCGGACACGCTATCCGCTGAGCTTCACTGTTGGAGAATCAAGTGGAAGCACCGAGGAAAAGATATTGAACTTCCAGCTACTATTTATGAAGCACTTCATTTGCCTGACATTAAGTTTTTCCCGAATGTTTACGCCTTGCTTAAAGTCTTGTGCATCCTTCCAGTGATGAAGGTGGAGAACGAAAAATACGAAATAGGACGAAAGCGCTTGAAGGCGTACCTGAAAAACACCTTGACAGAGCAAAGGTCGAGCAACCTGGCTTTGCTGAACATAAACCTTGATATAAAACACGACTTAGATTTAATGGTGGACACCTACATTAAACTCTACCCAGAAAAAGTGGAATTTCAGGAAGACTTTATTTCCTCAAACAACCCTCGAGTGACAGAAGAGGCTTAATTTTTTTTTTAAGCTCTACCTAATCTGTTGAAGCAGATTTTTCTTAATTAAGTCTCAACGCTGAGGAAAAAATGTGAAATCTTAAAAATCATGGCAATTGTATTTCCATTTTAGGTCTCGGACTGGAGAAGCTGTGGTCAGTGACCCAAATTATGTTTTGTTAGTCTGCATTAAATGTGTTACGCGAACAAAGCCAGGCCTGAAAATAAGCCCATGCTCTTGGCAGAGGTGCTTTCTATATCTTAATGATTGACTTAATTAGGTGCTCGTTTACTTTATGGCATCTTGGAAAAAGGACATTATGATTGTAGATCTGGTGGGGCTGTTACATATTTGCTCATGAATTAGGATAAGAAAAAAAAAAAAGGCAAAATGTTAAAAAGAGTATAATCCATTTCAGTTCTGTTACTTAGGATTTTATTATTTTTGAAAACTTTAAGGAAAAAGTCTTTGTATATTTAATTGGAGTTTTGGAGAGTGGATTCAGCTATTGCACGACCCTCGTGCTGTGGACTGTTCTCGGTGTAAAGTGAATGTCAGTGGTATAGAGGTACGTTTACAGTTTCGTTGGAAGAATCAACCTCTTTAATCTCTCTGACTGTTTACATTCCTTTGTGTGAGACACAAACCCTTTTTCTTTTTCTTTAGGCTTTTAACAGGCATGGCAGGAGTACTGAAGTTCCAAAAAGACACTAAAATCTTAAAAATTTTATTCCACATACGTATAAATCTGTTTGTTCTATCCTGATTCTGATGATACAAAATCGTGCATCTTGTTGTCCGTTTCTTTGTAAACTCACCCAGGAAAGATTAAAATAAGAGCTTGTTGTTTGTCTAGAAGTACGATTGAAAATATTGCTGTTATTTTTTGGCAAGAATAAGACATTTTTGTACAGTTTATTGCGATTTAAAATAAAATGTGAATTGCTTTTTACATAGTATTGTATTTCTTAGTAAGGCTGTGCCTCTTGGAGAATGTGAATTCTTTTGTAAGGTACCTTTTAGTTTTGGCAATTTTTTTCTCTGTTTTTGAGTGGCATTATCATAAGATGCAGGAAACTTTGTGTAATAGCACTTCTGATCTGTATGTTCTGCTGAAGGGTTTTTTAAAGTATTTTGAGATAGCACTAAATACAGTGCTTTTAATTGTCAGTCTTTGTCTTACTGAAATGGAGGGAAATCGATTAAATTTGTAATGGTTGAAAAGTGAAGTTTTGCAGCTACCCTGATGCATGCCAATTTTAGAAATTTTATTTACAGTTGTCTTTTTATGTACTTTCCAGTTGCAGTGGGAAAGGTCCCCCAGCAACAGAAAACTGAATGATTGTACAGATCGTGACAAATGCAGTGCTTAGTGTTTTAATGCAGTCAAACAATAAGAATATATTTGAAAAAAAAAACCACCAAAACATACCACTTTACAAAGTAAGCTCAGATATTAAACTGGCTATGTACATCTTAAGAAATGCTTTCAGGAGCTTTTATTTACATTGGAGTAGTAAAAATTACTTTCAACAAGTACTATCTTTTCTTTCCACTGCTATTTGTGCACGCTTTCTGGCACGCTTCCATGTTAATGCAATTATTGTCTCCATCAGTAAAAAATGTTTTAGCTAATAGCTTGCTCTGTTCCTCTAAATATAAGAAAATAGCCCAGATCTATGTTAATGCTATTAAAAAAAAAAAAAGGGGGCATTTTAAAATTAGCAGTCATATGGAAAATTGTCTTTTTTTAAAGAAGATCTCAGTTACCTTTTTGTTTATACCATTATAATTGTATTTTCCATCCTGGGAATGTCTGAGCAATGCGAGGTGGTCGTGACGGCTGAGATTGAGAGCTCTGTATCAGTAAAGCCAGGCTGGATGAGCCCAGGCTTAAGACTGTAATCAGAAAAGGATAATTAATACCCAGTGCCGTCTAATTACCCAAAAGAGCTGCAGACTACTTTCTGACTCTGTAAGAGATATTTTTGACTGATGTACTGAGACAAATGGGAGAAGGAAAAGGCTGTAAAAAAGGTCCTTTAGCTGCCAAAGTGTCTTCTGGAGCTCAGCTGTGACATAATTGTGACTAGTGTTGCTAATTAGCTGGCTCCGCAAGCCTAGATCGTTTAGTGTGCTTAATTGTTGCACTGCCTTTCACGGGATGCTTAGATTGTCTGTGATCAATCAAAAGCTATTTATTAAGCCTAATTGAATTGTCCTGTTGGGGCAGAATGTCTCATTTTTAGGCCCGTCGGTGCAACCTGTCGCAGGAGGTCTGAACAGCGACGGCTCTGCAGGATGTGAGGGAGCAGGGGAATAGCAGATTCCTTTTAACTTAAGAGATTTGTGTGGAGAAAAATCACTTATTAAAACTAGTGGCTCCCATCTTTATCACCAGGGGTGCTACTGGAGTGGAATCCATAAAATAGTTTTAAAGAGAACGCTCTTGTTAGAGCAGGTCAAAGACTGACAGAGAAAGTGTCTGAAAATGGGAAGAATAATCACTAAAGATAAACTTTGATTCCATTTTTTGTTAATGGGCCCTTTTACAGAGGGAGTTGTCATCTTAAATATCCTGCTAGTTTGGAGCAGTGGGTACTTCCAAGGTGAATCCCTAGGTATTTACCTTGCTTTGACCTGGCTTTTTGGCACTTTCTATGCGATGAAGCAATAAATATTAATTTCTCAGCCTAAAATAATTTATGTATCTTGGTGAAAGTGGATTTTCCTGAGCTGTTTGGCTGATTGTGTTTTGCAAAAGGAGCAATAGGTGTTATCCCAAAGCAGGCTTAATACTTAATAACTTCCAGACCTCTCATGATCCCTTCTTTCCCTACAGAAAACAGTTTTCATGAAGAACATCAGCATCCCCAATGTTTGGCCTATGTGTAAGTAGTGACACATCAGAAAAAAAAAAAGAAAATGGAGTTGGAAATTGTAGACAGATCTGTAGTAATTTCAACAGATGTGCGTGTTCATTATGTTTTCTTTACTGTGCAAAGTAACACTGTTAATTGAATAGAATTCAATGTGCGTGTTCCATAATGTAGTGTTTGTTCATTTTATTACAGCCATGGTTGTCCAATGTTTCTATTAATTTATTTTCATGTAGCGAGCTTGCTTTTTTTCTTAAAACCATGCCTGTGTGTCTTCTCTTTTAGCTGGCAACGGTTATCTCTGGATGACTCCTTGAAGGTGAGAGAGACCTGGGAGTCCTGGTGGACAACAAGTTGCCCATGAGCCAGCAATGTGCCCTTGTGGCCAAGGCCAGTGGTCTCCTGAGTGGAATTAAGAAGAGTGTGGCCAGCAGGTCAAGGGAGGTCATCCTCCCTCTCTGCTCTGCTCTGGTGAGGCCCCATCTGGAGCACTGGGTCCAGTTCTGGGCTCCCCAGTTCAAGAAGGACAAGGAACTGCTGGAGAAGGGACAGCAGAGGGCTACAAAGATGATGAGGGACCAGAGCATCTCTTTGCTGAGGAACGGCTGAGAGACCTGGGGCTGTTCAGTCTGGAGAAAAGGAGACTGAGAGGGGATCTCATCGATGCTGAGCAATATCTAAAGGGTGGGTGTCAAGAGGATGGGGCCAGACTGTTCTCAGTGGTGCCCAGTGACAGGCCAAGAAGCAGCGGGCACAAACTGGAACAGGGAAAATTCCATCTGAACATGAGGAAAACCTTCTTCACTTCGAGGGTGGCAGAACCCTGGAAGAGGCTGCCCAGGGAGGTGGTAGAGTCTCTGTCTCTGGAGACATTCAAAACCCTCCTGGACATGTTCCTGTGCGACCTGCTCTGGGTGGACCTGCTTTGGCAGGGAGGTTGGACTAGATGATCTCCAGAGGTCCTTTGAACCTCGACCATTCTGTGATTCTATGAAGCCAAGGTTGGTAGTAGTGAGGTTTGTTCTATCTGATTGAAGAGAAGAGGTGCAGCAGTGACAGAACAGGTGACCGTGTGGTTCCCTGCTCCTCTGTTTTTTAGTGTCTCAAAGTTAGATATTGCCTAGTTGTAGAACTGGGGGCACAGACTCAAGGAGGGCTTTTAACCATCTGTTCTGTCTGTAGACCTCTTACACATTCATGTGCCTGTGCTCCACCAGCAGCAACCACCACCAAAGCCAGGGATGGAGGTCGTTCAGAACATCTACCAGTAGTTTCATGTGTGTCATGGCATCTTTCCCTGAGAGGTGACTGCAGAGTGTTTGGCCACCTGGTGGTTGACAGACATGGGACTCCACAAACAACAGCTAGAGCCTGAAAATTCAGCTTCTGTCACCTCTTCAGCCAGCAAACATCTGAGGATCTGTGGAAAGGACCATTTCCTTACTCCTGGAAGAACCTCCCTAAGATCTACTTGGCAAGACAACGCCTCTGGCATGGTCATGGGCCTCTATGGGATTTTTCTAGTGGGTAGGTTCTGTCAACCAAGAGGCTTCCACATCTACTGTCAGCAGGACACCATGTTTGAGGGGAAGAACTTAGCACCAGCTCATTGCTTTTTTGTCCTCTCTTACTACCAAGAGCAGAATTTCAAGCTTCATGGCTGTTTCCCAGTGAAGCAGCAGGACGCTTCTGTACAGTTAACACCTGCTAACTTGGTGAAGGAACGATGTTTATGAGCTCTGGTTGGGCATTGGAATAGGCTGCCCAGGGAGGTGGTGGAGTCACCATCCCTGGATGTGTTTAAGGGACGTTTAGATGCGGTACTGAGGGATATGGTGTAGGGGAGGACTTTGTAGAGTGGGGTTGATGGTTGGACTGGATGATCCCAAGGGTCTCTTCCAACCTAGACAATTCTATTATTCTATGAGTCTCTTGGGAAAGTGGGGTCATGAATTTGAGTCATGAAGGAAGCAGGAGGAGGCTAGAATCAGAATGACTAGATTTGGAAGTGATCTTAAAGATCATCTAGTTCCAACGCCCCTCTTCTGGGCAGGGAGACCTCCTGCTAGACCAGGTTGCTCAAAGACCTATCCAGGCTGGATAGGGAAGTACATGAGAGAGCTGGTCAAGGGCATGGGTTGGTCAGTAGCGTGATGCTCCAAGACCAGATGAGGTCCTGGTCTTCTCCTCCATCTCCACCTACCATCCTGTAGTAGTCTTGGGCTGAGCAGACCCAGGCTGGAGGGCTTTGTGCTGCTGCCAGAAGGTACCTCACACAGAGCTTGGGGGAGAGGCAGCTGCGAGGAGGCCAACAGTGCTGGGGAGGTTGGACCTGCATCTGTCCCTGTGGTTCCACCATCGTGCAGGCAGCCAGCTAAAGGCACGCTTGACCTCCTTCCTAAGCTGGAGAACTTTTAACGAGTGGAAGGTGAATCATCTGGTTTATTAAATCGGAGGCCGCTTCAAGGACTGCAACCCAATTATGCCACGTGTTGTACGTATCCCAACAAGAGCATTTGTGGAGAAATAGGATCCATATGGGCAGATCTTTACTGGTGAGCACGTCCCTGCTGAAGAACAGCCTGGGGTGTCTGCCTGCAGAGATCGGGTTTAGCAGGATTCAGGCCTTAAACTCTTAATTTATAGCGTTGAACAGCTCTCAAGAAGAGGGAGGGATGTGTAGGAGGTACAGGATAAAGCGGACAGGGCTGTGACATGTATTTCATCCCTCCAAGGATTGAGTCTCGCTGCCTTCCCCTCGGTGTGAGCCTCTGTGCTCCAGGAATGAGCAGGAATATCACGGCCTAAGCCCAAATGCCTCCCTGGAGGGAAGAGACAGATGATATCATTGTTGGAGTTGTTTGGAGATCATAAAGGTACTTACTGAAACAAGAAAAATATGGTTTTAATTCCTTTTTTTTTTTTAATAATAAAAAAAAGTGACAGAAAGCCACGAGTGCCAGGAACCTCACTGAGAAAAGAGTCTTTGCACCCTGGAGAACTTCTCTTTGCCTAATGAATAAGTGCTTCTAAGTCACTTTTTGGTTCATTTTTTTTTTTTTTTGCGTGTGTGCATATATATATATATATATGTAAAATATGCAAAGCCAGATGAAGTTACTTGTTTGTCTTGCAGATGTCAACTTTGCCAAGTCTGATCCACGTCAAATGCTTTGATTTAGAAGCAGCACACCCAGAGTGAAAGGCTGATTCCTGGGAGATGTTGTCCCCACCGTACGCAGCTCCTCCTGGACTGTCTCCCCTGCCGTCCCAGCACACAACTGTTAGATGAACAAAATACATCAGCCTGAAGACATGCTAATCACCAGATAATGTTTTCAGAGTGGAGAGGAAACGAAGTGGAAGTCTGCAACCGAGTGTGGACTTCAAGACTTCTCTACATCACAGGATCACAGAATGGTAGGAGTTGGAAGGGACCTCTGGAGATCATCTAGTCCAACTTCCCCCCCTGCTAAAGTGGGTCCACCCAGAGCAGGTTGCACAGGAACATGTCCAGGTGGGGTTTGAATGTCTCCAGAGAAGGGGAGTCCTCCACCACCTCTCTGGGCAGCCTCTTCCAGGGCTCTGCTTTCCTCAAAGAAAAGAAGTTCCTCCTCATGATTAGGTGGAACCTCTTCTGTTCAAGTTTGTGCCTGTTACCTCTTGTCCTGTCCCTGGGCACCACTGAAAAAAGACCGGCCTCATCCTCCTGACACCCACCCTTTAAGTATTTATAAGCATTGATCAGATCCCCCCTCAGCCTTCTCTTCTCCAGACTAAAAAGAGCCAAGTCCTTCAGCCTTTCCTCATAAGAGATACGTTCCAGGTCCCTCATCATCTTTGTAGCCTCTGCTGTCCCCTCTCCAGCAGTTCCCTGTCCTTCTGGAACTGAGGAGCCCAGAACTGGACACCCTACAGAACTACAGCTTCCAAATCAATGTCGTGCAGGAGGTACCCTGCTCTGTGTCTGCCGAGACGGCAAAAAGCTTGAAGGAATTACCGCTTGGCAGGCGAGCAGAGCTCTCTCCCTGTAGCAGTTCTTATAAACTTTAATCCCGTAAGTGTATTGCTGCTGCAGAAGATGTGTTTATGGAGAAACCTGGGGGTTTTGGCATGTGTAAAGGCACCCTTCTGCGTTATTACAAAAGCTGGATTTGGAAAGTACTTGTAATGCGTACAGTTTGACATCAGGTATTCCTGTATTTTCCAGACTATTTCACATTCTTATTCGAACAAGGGGGAATAGGGGAACAGATTCTCTGCTCTAATCCCAAGTCTTTGCACCTTTCAGGCGGGACAATACAGTTTTCCATCTGAGAGCGCAGCATTGCTCCTGGGAGACTCTTCCAGGAGGGGAAAAAATAAGCTGAAAATGCTGATGCAATAATTTTCTGCACAATTTGCTTCCCCGAGGTGTGCATAAGCTACTGCACACCTCGCTGCTGCGTGGTCCTTCAGGTCTCACCGCTCTTCTCCCAAAGCTGATGGAGAAAGAGCTGCAAGAAGGACACGTCTTTCCAGGGCTGGTTGCTTATTTTTCTGCCCCGTGTGGCCTGTAGCTTTGCACCTCACCTGCTGTCCTTCAAGGTCACGCTTGTCGAAAGTCAATGTTTCATATTTTAATTTTTCATATTTTCATTTTTTTGCATATTTCCTATTTTTCGACCGGAGGTGCATTGAAAGGCTGTGATTTTCTTCGAAAGTGTTTAGCGTAACCCTCCCCTCTATGGAAAGGAGCTTTAACGCCGTGTCAGGCTGTGCATGATCAGTTAAAGGCAGGAAAAAGCACAGATTTTTGGAAATCTCCATTTAGGAACAAAATTCAGTACCTGAGTAGAGCAGTGGGGCTGCCTTGGGTAGATGGCATTCCCCAGGTAGCTTTCAGTAGATCCTGCGACAATGGAATCTTTCAAAACAATTTAACATTTTTGCCTTTTTGGTACATCCCATCATATTAATCGCGATTTGGAGAAGAGAAAATCCCCACTGTGTTCCATTTCTGCTATTAAATATTACACATACTGCATTTTCTTCTTCTTCATTTACTTTCCCCTTCCCAAATTCAAGCCCATAGTCCTCCATTATTTATTTATATTTTTTTTTGTCTAAAAAGTTGCATTCTCTTCTCCATTCCCGTTCAGGTGTTAGTCATTGCTTCTGATCTTTACGAGACTATTTTCTATTCTCACCAGGCCATATTTGCAAGATGTATCAAGTTAGTTTTACAGTTTAAACAAACCAACGCATCCATTTTCTTAGCAAGCCTCTTGTTTACGAGACTATTTTCTATTCTCACCAGGCCATATTTGCAAGATGTATCAAGTTAGTTTTACAGTTTAAACAAAACCAACGCATCTCCCTCCTATCCTAAAATGCTGCTTTTATGGACCCCACTTGTAGAAAAGCAGCACGTTCCTCTTCACTTTTCTTCAAATATCAGTATTCCTGAAATATGAAATAAAGATTTGTGCTTTTCTTCTATAACCTTGTCTATGCAGGGAGCCCAGCCAAGTGAACTACCCTTATAGTCCTCGGCAAAAAGGTGACCTCAAAACAGTGAAAACTGATGAGAAAAGTTTCTAAGCTTTACAATGGAATGTCCCCTCTGGTGTGAGTATTGGAACAGTCTTTACTACTGTATTATGTATTAATCAGTAATATATGATCCTAAATATCCTAACCCCCAAGGGATGCTTTGCCCTCTGATTGTACAGTCAGAATGCACTTGGAACAGCTAATTATTCTTCTTTCTCTGTCTTGGGTTGATCAGCTTGTTGGGACAGTCATTACCTGTTGATTAAATTAGAATCATAGAATGGTTTGGGTTGGAAGGGACCTTAAAGATCATCGAGTTCCAACCCCCCTCCCATGGGCAGGGACACCTCCCACCAGACCAGGTTGCTCAAAGCCCCATCCAGCCTGGCCTTGAACACTTCCAGGGATGAACAGCTTCTTTGGGCAACCTGGGCCAGTGCCTTATCACCCTCATAGTGAAAAATTTCTTCCTGATATCTGATCTAAACCTCCCCTCTTTTGGTTTGAAGCCGTTATCCCTCATCCTATCACTACACGCCCTTGTAAAAAGTGTCTCTCCAGCTTTCTTGTAGGCCCCCTTCACGTACCAGAAGGCTGATTTAAGTTCCTCCTGGAGCCTTCTCTGTACATAGCAAGCCATCACAGATGGCTAAAAAGTTGTAGCTTTTCTGCTGTTTCTTTCCTCAGATCAAAAATGCAATGAGATGTGGTGGTCATACAGGCAGACAACCACGTAGCATACTTAGTGGAAGGTGCCCTAGCAATAAGGAACTTGGGTTAGATACCAGAGAGTATGGATCCACACAGTTGGATCAGGTCATGTGGATCCACACACTTTGCTGTTTGCACTTCTGCATCTTCTCTACACTGACTCTCAGCTTTTAAAATATTGATTGGTGTCATCATTTTCCACTCCCTGCTACTCTACACGAATGGTCAATCTTGCTGACTGTGCCCTGCTTGGATGTCGTGCAGGTCTTTGGTCTTTGCAGGTGGACTTCGCCCTGTGCTCCAAGCAGACTGGGAACCAGGAACCTGCAGTTGAAGGCAGGACCAAGGCACCCTCCTGCAGATGAGGAGATGGCTCCAGGACTCCTGGTTGGCTAGGGACACAGATGGACTCACTTTCTTTTGGATTCAAAAGACAATGTAGATATAATCGTGGATATTCATATGACCCCCATTTCTGGAATATTTTCTATGTCATTGATCTATTTATCTTCAGAAAATCTATTTATTTTCATAAATATATTTATTTTCATAAAACCTCTGAGATATAAGGTGCAGTTATCAGATATCTGAAGTGACTCTGGCCTCCATCTGGTCACATGAAAAATTTGCAGTGAATCAGGACACTTTATCAAGATCTCCCAAAGCCCTGCTTGGTGCTATGAAACAATGTCTGTGGCCCAGGAGACTTACAGATGTGACGTGAGGAGGGGCAGCAGAAACAAGGCAAAGGATGCTTCAAGAGAAGGGGTAGCAGGGGCGAGTTAGTCTGGGGTAAATGAATGTATGGTCCATGGTCCTCATAAAAGCCAAAGAAGAGTGTTCCTAACATCACTATCAATTTGGATTCATGCTTTGTCAGCAGTGGACAAGGAAGGGTCAATGTCAGAGGAAGAAGCTTAGAAAATCATTCCATGTGGTTTTGGTTATTTGAGCATCTTCTTCTGTAACAGCACTGTCTCCTCTTGAAGTGACAGCAATTTATGAGCAGTTCCACTTCACTTGTCCCTCTTCTCCCTGAAGCTCGTGCCTGGAGACTGAGTATCTACAGAAGGGAAGGTGGGAACAGGTTGGAGACCAGAAGGTGAGTGTTGGGAAGGAGCACAGGTGGGTAACGTCCTTTCAAAATATTAAATATCCACAGCTGACTCAGAAACCTACCTCTCGTGTTTATCTAATTACAAGAAATTAATATAGTAATTTCTTCATTCCCAGCAAATCGGTATTTCCTGAAGTATTGTGATACTTTCCCTGAGCTGAGCAGAGCTCCACTAGGATTTTAATTAACAGACAGTTTGGTAATATCTAATTACATGTCAGAGCTGTGCTAGGCCAGACAAAAATGCATCCTGCATTCCTTGCTTGTCCCAGGGCTGCTGCACAGTAGATGTTTCCATGTTCTAAAAGCATAAAGAGCTATGAGTATGCAGTTTTAGAACTGTTTTTTTTTAGAGATACTTGAATATATCATAGCCTTGACAGAGTAACCAGTTCTGCTGGGCTGGGAAAGAATTTGGGAACAGAGTTATAAAATAATTGGTATTTCTAATTCGATAATAATCCAGAATAATAATTTAAAAAACCTATCTTTTTAAGTAAACAGTCATAACCTAGTGTGAAACGGAGTTTTATAAAGTTGTAATCCTCTCAAGGTTAAATTAAAGACAAATTAAGACAAACATGTGTGGTTAGGTATCATAAAAATAAAGTATTTAATCTTAAAAACAGAGGTTCATTCATCCTGAATGACCCGTGCAGGAAAACAGAACAATTCACAGATCATTTTCCCAGTTTACAGAAAGATTCAATTGAAAAACTGGGATCAATACTATATAAAATCATATCACAGAGAACAATTCACAGATCATTTTCCCAGTTTACAAAAAGATTCAATTGAAAAACTGGGGTCAATACTATATAAAATCATATCACAGAATGATCTGGGGTCGGAAGGGACCTCTGGAGATCATCTAGTCCAACCCCCAAATTCTTTTTTTCCCCAATATGTCTCTTCCACCCCAATCCAACTCATTTTCATGATAGATAAAGACAAATTAAATCTTCATTTCGTTTCGTTTGACTTTTGCCTTTATTAGATTGCTCAACTAATTAAAGCGAGTGCCCAGCAGAGCAGTGAGCCAATTTTTGCTCTAGAGTTGGAGCTTTTTTTGCTTACTTTTATAGACAGGTAACGAATGTTACTGCAGCAGGGTGA